TGGAAAATTGAACTGTGGAGACTCTTTGAAGCCAAGATGAAGAAACAGAACGCGCTCAATTCGCACGTGGGAAAGCTGTGCAAAACTATTGACACGTTGTTATTTCTACACGCTGATCATGATTATGATGGCCCTGATCCGAGTCCTATCACAAGTTGCGCCAACACTCTGTGTCTACTAGCGCCCGAGCAGTCCCACTGGATAATGCGGAGCTCATGACCAGCACCTAGAAATTCACCTACGTACGAACCGAAAGGCGTCCAAAGTTGATGAGGATGCCAACGATCCTGCTGCGGAGACTCCTCGCCACAGAGTCGCCGTATGTGCCTTACAACATGCGAGGTACGAGCATCAATTTGTCATAGCGTCTGTCTACGAGAGACTGTGTGCCTTCCCTCTCCTGTCAATCGCTTTCGAAAACGGTAAAACGACGGTAGGCGAAAGCCAAGGGTCGCCGCTGTGCATGTCTCGTGCGTTCCACGCTTATCCTCGAGACGTGGCGCAGGAAATGCGGACGTGAAGATGGAGAAGGAAGGCAGGGAGATGGAAAGGAAAAGAGGAAGCAACTGGACGCATTGGACGGAGGTGAGCGTGAGCGTGAGGTGCGTTGTCCTTCTTTTTTTCGTCCTCTCCATCACATTCTATCGTCATTTCTACTCACATTCTGCTTTCTTGGGTCCTTTGTTTCCTCCCACAGCTCATTCTCTTGCCCCGCTTCCTCGAGCCCTTAGCCTCCAGTCTCTTCGCATCTCCCCTCTCCGCTACAGCGAGACATAACGTACAAACCGGCCTTGGGCCCTGTGCCACCAATCCTTGATCATGCAAGTAGGTTTTGGGCTCATTTGTCAAGGCACGTCGTGTTCTACCATTTCGGTTGCACATGCTCGGCCAAAGTGCGAGGACGCCTGAGCTCCGCAGGAGTAAAGGGTTACCGAGCATGGTCTTAACGCGCCGAAGCCCTCTGCGAGGAGAGGGAGGAGGCTCTCTCTATATACAAGACGCTCTGTCCACTTCAAAATGCCAGACGGACAAAGTAGAGGGTGCCTGGGTTTCCATCTATTCTTGTCTTCTTGTCACTGTTTACCTCTTTGTTCATCCTTTACCTCCTTGCTCGTCCTTTGAGCCTCTTTTTGACACTGTCTCAGGCTCATGACGTGTCCTTATTCCAGACATTCTCTCGAACTACATATTAAACGCTCTGCACTTTTCTGGTCAGCTTTCTTGACGGGCGCTTTTTCTTCGGTCTCCTTCCTCTCCTTTCCTTTGATGAACACTTGAGTTTTGTCTTCCTCGTTTTCCTATTCTTCCCCTCTCTTCTTCGACTCGTCCCTCACGCCGGCGATCCTCTGGACATATGTTTTTTCGCGAGGAACACCCACACCACAATCAATTCGATTCGATTTATTCAGACCCGTCGAGGATTTCGAATGGAGCCAAATACTAGGTATCTTCGTCGTCATCTTTTGCATGGAACAAAAGGTGGTCATTCGACTTCATGCATCACTCTCAAGCGGTTGAAAAAGAAATTGAGTCTGAGATGGACATATGACCCACCCCCGAGTCGAACGGGGACCTTCCACTTGCACATCCCGTTTTGCTGAAAAGGTGTGGATGCACGCCGTGTGCGAATAGTTCTTGTACTCATATTTTTGTACTCGGGGTAGGTGAGCATTAGATGTATGTGTGAACGTCTACGATCTCGGCGAAGTTGAAATGGTGTGGAAAAATACTTTTCGGCAATCTTTCTGAGACTTCTGGACGAATCATATGGAGGATTTGGACCCAAATATTGCCAAGCCATTCTGGAAGCACGAACAGACTCTCCATAGCGATGGTCCGCTCCTACTCTATCCGGGACGGGTCATGGCACTTTCTCTCTCTCTCTTTTGGCAGGAACCACTTTTGCACATTTGAAGTTGCAGTGAAGTGCTAATGGAATGGGAATATCCAACATGTGATCGGGAGAAAGGATTCTGATTTGGATTCATCCATCGTGGTTCAAATTCCAGGGGAACATGCTGGCCGTTTCCGCTTTTCTTCAGGAAAATGATATTAAACCTCCCAATCGTGTCCATTCAGGTAAAATTCAGTTCACGCCCAAGCAGGCTGAAAAAGAAATCGTAAAACATGGACAGTCAGGGAATGACCCGACCCCGAGTCGAATGGGGACCTTCCACCTGCACATCGCGTTTCCGTTGTAACTGGTGTGGATGCACATCGTGTGCAATCGGGTCTAGTTCTCATATATCAGTACTCGTATAGATGTAGGTGGGCATAAAAGAAAGTTTCAGCGTGAACGTCGGGGATCTTGGAGAAGTTGCAAATTTAGGAAAGAGGAGCCGCGATGAGACAACGACACTTTTGAAAGGCAGATATTGGGGATCTCGACCTCAGATAGCTTAAAGTCATGGTATTCAGGTCAAGAAGCAGGAACCGACTTGATGGCAGGTAGTCCGCACCTCCTTCCTATGGGCCCTTCAGATACGATCAAACAGGGCGCCGATTCGAATCCGGGCCGCGTAATATATGGGTGATCACCTTGTGTCCTTTTGACCTCGAGCACGTCGTCAAAGAATCAATGCGAATCTATGCGCTGGTGTTATTCACTCAGCGTAAGGCCATGTAGGACGATAAGTTGCCCCTCAGAAAGCCTTACATTGATCAAGAGGGAAAATCGCACGACACTCTCACTTTGGTTTCAGGAAGATGGATCAAAATGGTTCCTAATATTTCCAAAGGAGAGATGATACACATCCCCATTCTAATACGGACCCAGAAATCTGGGGTGAAGATGTGTCCGACTTCAGGTGCATCTTGAAGCCAACAGCGTCGGCCGCATTGACTGACTAGTGCTATCCTTCGCCAGACCGGAGCGCTGGGACAATATCCCCGATTCCGTCAGCGAAATCCCCGGTGGCTGGGTAAACCTCCTCACCTTTTTCTCGGGCCACATAACTGTATTGGATTCAGATTCTCCCTTGGAGTGCATTTGGATCTACAGTTACTTATTCATGGCATGGAACCCTTCTGACACGCCATAATAGAATGAAAGCTCTACTTTTCACACTGATCCGGTCCTTTGAATTTAATTATGAGCATGCACTTCCGAAGGGAGCGGTCGGGCCCTCTGTTACTTGGATATTGCAGAGTCCTACATCTACACGATCTTGTCCTTCTTTCAGCGAAACTTGCGACAATTTTCCTCTTGTGTTCAACTGCGGTTCCCGCCAGCTCGATCAATCCAGAGGTCGAGACAACATCCAGAGCATTCTCTTCGGGCCCCTTCAACGCAGTCCCATTCGGCAAGAAAAAATTTGGAAGCCAATGAAATTCAAACTTTCCAGCCTTATCAACTAAACACTCTTCCATTCCTTCGCGTCCTTGTGACTCTCGATAAAATCCCGCAGTCTTTTCGTTCCGACGAAATCTGCCTGCCTGAACGCCTTCTCCTCACCGCCACCCGCAATGAGGACATCCGCATTACTCATGAATGCCGCATATTCCTCTGGCATTCCCCTTTGCACCATAATGTTTTTGAACTGGTCGGCGGTGACATTCCTATGGGTAATTTTCCGACCGAGTGCGTCACTCAGCATATCGGCGATCTGAATACCAGTGAATTTGAGTTCATCATGTGCTTAATTCGACCGTATGTCCACTCACTTGTGCATACGTGAATAGTTCTGGGCCAACCATGATTGGATTTGTGTGCTCGATGACTTGGTCGGTAAGGGCCTTGAATACGACGTCCGCAATGTCATCAGTTGAGATCCAACCAATCAACCCAGAACCCGCAGCGTTTACGATCTCGTCTTGGGTCCGGATAGTGTCCGAGTAATGAACCAGTATATTGTCTGCGAATTCGATTCCAGGATTAACACGACAGAGAAACGGTAAAGGGGACGTACCGAAAAACCAAGTGGGACGAAGAGCGCAATACTCCACCTCGCGGGAGTGCAGATATTCGTGTGCCTTCCCCATTATTGGATCCCCTGCGGCTATCATTGCAGCGCTCATCAAAACGAACCGCTTCACGCCCTTCTGGATAGCGAAATCAATGAACGCTTTCATGGGTGGGAACATGTCAAAGACAGGAGGAGCAATGAGATAGATTCGGTCTATGCTGGCATCGGCCGCGAACGGGATTTCATACGTCGAGGCATCGAGCCAGTCGAAGCGTACACCTTTGAACGGTGCAGGAACGTTGCCGCTCTGGGTCGTCAGGATCACGGGAATATTGGCCTCGCGGAAACGCTGGGTCAGCGGGGTTCCAGATTTTCCTGTAGCACCAATAAGAAGGACGGTCATTGTTGGGAAGAAAGCCCTCACAAGCGTCGCTTCATTTAAAGGAAGCCTTTAGTCATCCTCAAAATGCCCTTTTGTAATCAGTTTGTAATCTGGCAGGGAGACTCTGATGCGGTCACGCCTGTTGACGTTCGAAAATTCATCTTTAGGTTTGTGGCACTCAAGTTGACGATTTCGCGGAATCCGGCACGGACCAGGAGAAGCAACTGAGAACGCAGTCAAAAAAAACTTGTGATACTTACAAGTCTCAGGAGGCACAGAAACTAACGGTCCGCACTTGCATCTTCTACCCCAGTTCGATTCCGGGTTCAGTCATTGGTTAGCTGCAACAACCCCTTTTTGTAGGTCAACTATTTTGAACCTACCCTAATTATTGAGGGGTGACTCGATGGCGGATTGTCCGCACCTGTTCACGTTAGAACTGTTTTGTGATTGCCAGCAGGAGTCCGGGTCGATGCCGGGTCGCGTCATAGTCACGGAATTGCTGGATTTTTTTAATTGCACCTGTTGAGATCCTGCCAAGAGATATCCAGACCCAAAATTCAGGGAGAACAAAGACTCGTGTGGCCAAATGAACATGATCTCCACTGTGGACTGTAAGACAAACAGACTGGGCTGGTTCAATTTTGAGCCAAAGTCTGACTTCAGGTCAATGCAAGAATTTCATGTGTATCGAGGTTGAACTGGAGAAAAACGACTCGATGGCGGATGGTCCGCACCTGCTTCCAATTCGCATCAAGCAGAGCCGGTTCGAATCCGGCTCGGGTTTCAATGGTGTCGGTCAGTTTTGTTGAACCTCTTTTTGCCGGAAAACAACTTGACAAGCTGTGTGCGCGCACCAATTACATTTGCCCTGCCCGAGAAATGTTGTTGACGCTTGAAGGGAAAGCTGTGCAAGGCTGCTGACGCGTTGTTATTCGTCCACGCCTTTGACCCTGATCGACGTCCTGCTCGGCGTTGCTGTCCCGAAATTATCTGCTCTCGGTTTGGTTCGCAAGAGAACCTGTTACGCCGTACTTATATCGCCTTGTGGCCGGCCTGAAACGCTCTTGAACCAGCCCGATGGAGAGCACAGAACCTGAGCCCTGAGAGGTGTCCGTGGCATTAGGGACAGTCAGAGTAGACGATTATGGTCGATTATGACGGTCGATTCCGCAGTCGATTATGTTCCCAGAATCGTGGGAGAATCGCCGAGAATCATAATCAACCGAGAATCGTCGAAGCGACTCCGGAGTCGATTCTACATCGATTATGGAGTCGATTCTGATTATGATTCTCTTTCGTCCAGAATCGTGGTTAGAATCGCGTCCATAATCGTCATCAGAATCGGGGCGGTCAGAGCCAGGGTGATTCTCCCACGATTCTGTCTTCCAGAATCGACTTCAGAAGCGCAAGCATAATCGACCCATAATCGTCTACTCTGACTGTCCCTATTATCGCCCTCCAGCCTTCAAGTGCCGACTTGCACAGTAGCAGTAGTCGCTGACCTGACCGTCGTCTGCAGTGCATTGGCTTCGCGCTCCACTGTTGCCCTTCTCTCCCTGTGTATACCGCTCCGCCCCGCAGCCGTTTCGACACAAACATCGCACACTGCTGGAAGATGTACGTCCGCTCCTCATGCCTTCCTTCCTTAAGCTTCCCCGCTGCCAGCTGACTCTATCTCGAGATGTCCCGCCATGCCTTATGCCGCCGCGCCATGGCCAGGTCCCCGCATCCATCTCGTGTCTGTCCCTCTCTTGCTCTCATGCGTGGCGTGGATGGTGACTAGCTTTGCTCACTTGCGCCGACTACTCCACTGCTATACGTGTGCGTGGACTGTTATCTTAATACCTGCTTCAGCGCTATCTTTCGCGAGGTGCGTCTACATTCCCTTTCCCTCGTAATCCTTAGTAAACGGGCGCGGGGTGTACATTCACGATATCATCCGGCCAAGCAGCAGGCATAGCCTCGGGGGCATCGGGGTGCTGTGTCGCACCTCCTCCCCAGCAGTAGACATAGATGCGGGGTAGCGAACGTCCACGGCGGCGGGTGCCGTGTGTGTTGCAGAATGGGCCATGCGCTCGGGCATTTTCGTGGGGAATGGAAGCCGGGCAGTGTGCTTCGCTGCCTTGTGGTTTACAGCGGAAGACTCGAGGTTACGTCTTTCGACTTTCGTGGCGTGGACCGTGCGTCATCGAGCACGGCCCTCGGGCAGGGTACACCTCATCGCCTGTCGCATGTCGCAGGGGTAGACCACAGGTGCACCACAAATACCACTGTCCTCCTTAGTCCACCCATATGAGTGTTTAAGGAAATTCATTGGGATGTCAACACCGCGATCTCTCTTCTGTCTCCGGGAGGCAAAGGAGGAGTAGGTGGAGTGGGCGGCGTAATGGGTGGCGTCAGGTCTCGACAATTGTGAGCTTTGACTGGGAACTCTTTGCGAATTCCAAGAACAGACCCAGAATGGTACCGTAAATTTGGTTACGACAGGGTCATCGATGTTCACATTTTCTGGAAGTCACAGGAGGCGCTGGTGGCCCCAGCGGCATACTGGGCGATAATGAGGGCCCCAGATTTCAAACCGACAAAATTGTGGTGGAGACCTTAAACCAACATCTAGAGCGCCAAAGCATCCTCAAGTAGGCCGCTGTGCCAGCAGCACAACTCGTGGCAGCCTACTATCGTCCAGCCACTTCGGAACTTCAATCACCGAATACTTCAATAAATTTCCACGAATCGTTTCATTTGTTTACTTCGTCTGTCTCACTTATTTACTTGTACTCACATTATTCTTCCCGTCTCATCCTAGTTTTGCTTTCAGTTGCAAGCCTTACTGGGACCAATACTTTACTTACATCCGCCGGTTATCTATCATCTTGTCGTCATCGTAGCTCGCACTCTCCCCCCCGCTTCGTCCCAAATGTTCCGTAGCCTTGTTGGATATGTGTGTTGACTTTTTAGTGTCCGGCAGTATTGATTTTGTATTATGTACCGCCAACGCAACTATTTCAACCGTTCTCGGGCATCTCGGACTTCGCCTACTACTTGTTAGTGTTGGACCCATCACGGATCACTTCCTTTGAACCGTCCCACAACCCACTCAAATTGCACGTCGGAGGGGTTGTTATTTCCGCACGTTGACGCTGATGGCGCGGATCGAAGTTTCTCTTCCGCCAAACACTCTGTGTCCGAATCTACTAACACTCCAGCAGGACCATTGGATAATACCAACGATCCTGCTGCTGAGATTCTCCCGCTGCAGAATCACTGTATGTGGAACACCACAGGATTCCCATTTCATTCGCCACCCATTCCAACTTAATCACGCTGTGCACATTCCCATTGGGCACACCTTGCGGAGGGAACAAACCTGCCCAACTCTGAGCCGCCGCCTTGGATCAGATGCAGATATTTATTCGCGCTGCGAGCATTGAACATTTTTTCTATGATGTTCGGTCAGTCAAAAATAAATATCGTGAAGGAAACTGCACGACGGTAGCGGCGAGCGGCATGGCGCATCAACCCCGAGCTTCAATCACATGAACAATTGCGATCTTTGGAGAAGAACCTACCATTTCAGCACTCTATAGCCAGGAGTTCCTCACTGATTAATGTATAGCAACCAGAAAGGCTGAACAGATATTCTAACTGGTAAAAATTGTCAAATTTTCAACAGTAAATCCACTGACAGGAACAAATCTCCCCAACCGTTTAAAACCGTGTAAAAACGCTTGTGAAACCGTTTGGGCCGGCCCGTACACAAAAAGGAAACGTAAACGTTTAAAACCGTGTATGAACGTTTATACATGAAAAAGGTTGGAGCTTAGAGTATTCAACTTGAGGCAGGGTAGCTTGTTGTTAAGTTGTATCTCTCATGATTCCTTTGATGCCGCCGTCTGGGCGCTCTCTTTGGCAGTCTTCTGGGACTGCAGACGTCTGGGCGAACTCTTCATTCCCTCGGCCGATAAATTCGATCCCAAATTCCATATTACCAGAGACGCCGGGCGAAACGCATCCGCACGATCGGTATTTCACACGCGACAGCTCTACACCTTGGACCAAATCTACCGAGAGCGAGGCGGCACGTTGACAATGACATCGCGACCTGACAAATCTATACTCGGCTCCGCCTCTCTTTTCGCCTTTGACGCCGGCAATGGGAAGTGGGCACCGATGACGAAGGACTATTTTCTCCGCCAGTGCCTCGACATTTGGACCAAAGCCAAACTTGCACGTGTACACGGCCAGAATTTACGCGTTGGCGGTTCTACCGAGCTCCTCGCTGGAGTCCGTTGCCGCTTGGGGCCTGGACTTCTCTGGCCTTCCTGCTCAACTGCAGGAAAATTGAGCACATCATTCCCATGAACGTCGGCAAAGCTTCCGACAAAAAGAAGTCGGATGAGGTCGCTAAAGCCTTTGAAGCTTTATTACTGTCATTAATGCAGACAAATTTTAATTTTCCTTTCCTCGTTCTTTCAGTCCTCATTCAGCGCTGTTTGTCCTTCCATTAACGAGCCCGTCGTTCTCCCGGTGCCGGTGCGCCCGTGCATCGCGACGCGCCAGTGTACGGATCCATATAAGAGGAAGCGGGCGCCATGGGCGCCGAAGCGGTTGAGCTTTGGTACCTCGGTGCTCCTGCACAAACAAGTTACTTCACGCGGACCCGCTGATACCGAGCTAGCTCGCCTGTGAATGGATCGACTTATTGGTTGCCGCCGGCGCCGCCCAGGTTCTGGCCAGGGGTGTTCTGGTAGATATAGTCCACAATCGTGGGCACGTGCCTCAGCGGGAGGTTGTTCCTCTCGAGGAAGCGCTGGGCGGCGGCGGCGGGTTCATCTGCGGGATTTTCAGTGACGCGCATGCTCAAGATAGGACAGGCTTACCGGAAATGTTGTAGGGAAGTTTGAGAGCAGGCTCCCCGTCCTCGATCGCGACCTTCCAAACGTAATCATACCCTTTACCCTCGAAGGTCTTGGTCTTCTCGCCGCTAGACTGTCCTTCTACGCGTTCTCCTATTTTTTCCCAGATGGAGCCGTCCCACTGAAGGGATCCAATGAGACTCAAAATTGCAGAGGATAGGGAAATACTAACATGGTATACTTCGGTTACATCTCCATTTAATACCAAGATTGTCTGGCCAACTTTTTTGCCTAAAGAACGGGTCGCAAAGGGTCCCGGAGACGAGACAGCAAACGCACCTGGCCTAGTCAGAGCCTCCATAGTTTCCACCTCTACCTGCTCGACATCATGGGAAGACATAGACTGCTGAGCGATCACATCCTCGTATGCCTTGATGTCCTCCGCAGACGCCCATCGGTCCTTTGAGGCACTGAATATCCGGACCATCTTATCACTAGAGCCGCTAACGATGTCGCCGTTTGGTAGTGTCGAAACCGTCCACACCGAAATTGCAGGATGAACTAGTACCTGCGCACACTCGCCATCTATGGGCATAATAAGAATGGAAAATTCAGGGCCAAATATACAAGCACGCGCCTTTCCAGATCCGCACACTGCGATCTTCACTAGACGACGCCAGATCACCACTGGCGAGAACCGCCAGTCGGTATATGAACGATGTGTGGCCCGTCAGTGTATACACGAGATCGCCCTGAAGCGACCATACGCGTATTTCGCTGACAACGGCGTCAATTTTCAACGGGAATAGATGATGTGAGCAACTCACTTGTCTGCACACGACGCGAAACCAATGTCCGGAATCAATGCTAAGGAACGAACCACGGCGTTGTGTCCAGCTGTGACGGAGAGCTAGAAGCTAGTCCGGCA